AAAATTAGTGGGGTATGGTGGCATGCACCTAATCCCACTACTCAGGTGGCTGAGGCAGGAAAATAACTTGAACCCGAGAGGCAGAGGTTGCAGTGAGCTGAGATCACCCCACTGCATTCCAGTGTGGGTGACAGAGCCAGACTCCATCCCCCCCAAAAAAGAAAAAGAAAAAAACAATGTCATTCTCGCCTCTTCTGAGAGCTGTTTTATTTACTAGTGAGTCTTTTTTTTTTTTTTTTTTTTTTTTGGAGACAGAGTCTTGCTCTGTCACCCAGGCTAGAGTGCAATGGTGCGATCTTGGTTCACTGCAACCTCCGCCTACTGGGTTCAAGGAATTCCCTGCCTCTGCCTCCTCAGTAGCTGGGATTACAGAAGCCCACCACCAAGCCCAGCTAATTTTTGTATTTTTAGTAGAGACAGGGTTTCGCCATCTTGGCCAGGCTGGACCGGTGGACACTAACCGTGGGTGAGGTCTTGCTAGGCACCAAGGGGACTGCTGTGGATCACACAGACAAAAGCCCCTTCCCTCACAGAGCTGGCATTCTGGTGGGAGACATGGAAAGTCAGCAGATATAAGAATTCCATAGAGTACATCCGGTAGTGACTCATGCTAAGAGTAAAATAAATCGGGGAGTAAGAACAGAAAGCCCGTGGGGGTGTCATGTTGAAGTGGGGGGTCAGTGCAGGCCTCCCTAAGGAAATGTTTGAATCAGAACTTGAAAGACTGCCAGGCGCAGTGTGGTTCACGCCTATAATCCCAGCATGTCGGGAGGCCGAAGCAGGCAGATCACTTGAGGTCAGGAGTTTGAGACGAGCCTGGCCAACATGGCAAAATCCCATCTTTACTAAAAATACAAGAATTAGCCAGGGGTGGTGGCGTGCGCCTGTAATCCCAGCTACTCTGGAGACTATGGCAGGAGAATCGCTTGAACCCAGAAAGTGGAGGTTGCAGTGAGCTGAGATCATGCCACTGCACTCCAGCCTGGGTGACAGAGCAAGACCCTGTCTCAAAAAGAAAAAAAAAAAACAACTTCAAAGATGAAACAGAATTGGCCATGGAATATAGGGTGTGGGGAGGGAGGGTGTTCCAGGCAGAGGGAACAGCAAGGGCAAAGGCCTTGAGGCATGAGAGTGACCTTTGTGGGGTGGAGATTGTTGTTCCTGGATGTGTCCCCAATACCTGGATCAGCACCTGACACAATATAGTGCTCAACAGAGTGTGACTGGATTGAAGTCCAGCTATGGGCTTCAGGTACAGCTTGCTCAGGGCTCAAATGATGATGGCCCCAGAGCCATTACTCTCCTCCATCTGATGACTTCATTCATTTTTTATTTTTCTGAGACAGTCTCACTCTGTCGCCCAGGCGGAAGTGCAGTGGCTCAATCTCAGCTCACAGCAACCTCCCACCTCAGCCTCCCTAGTAGCTGAGACCACAGGCACGCACCACAGTGCCCTAGCTATTTCTCTGTATCATCATCACCTGTAATCCCAGCTACTCAGGAGGTTGAGGCAGGAGAATCGCTTGAACCCAGGAGGCAGAGGTTACAGTAAGCCAAGATTGCGCCACTACACTCCAGCCTGAGCGAACGAGCAAGACTCCGTGTCCCCTCCATCCCTTGCCATTGGCCCTGGCTATTTCTCTGTATTTTTAATAGAGATGGTGTCTGGCCATGTTGTCCAGGCTGGTCCCGAACTCCTGAGCTCAAGCAATCCACCTGCCTTGGCCTCCCAAAGCACTGAGATTACAGGCGTGAGCCACTGTTCCCAGCTGGGTTCATTCATATAAGAGGCTGTCGTCTTAAGATAGAGACTCAGCTTCAAATCCATCCCACTCAAGACACAAAAGTCAGGCCAGGTGTGCTGGCTCACAGCTGTGTATCGCAGGGAGACTGCTTGAGACCAGGAGTTCAAGATCAGCCTGAGCAATAGAGAACCTGTCTCTACCATTTGAGGCCAAGCAAGGTGGCTCACACCTGCAATCCCAACACTTTAGGAGGCTGAGGTGGGTGAATCACTTAAGGACAGGAGTTCAAGACCGGCCTGGCCAAGATGGCAAAGCCCCAACTCTACTAAAAATACAAAAATTAGCTGGGCATGGTGGCCTGTGACTGTAATCCCAGCCACTCAGAAGGCTGAGGCAGGAGAATCGCTTGAACCTGGGAGGTGGAACTTGCAATGAGCCAAGATCATATACCACTTTACTCCAGCCTGGGTGACAGAGCAAGACTATCTGAGGAAAAACAACTTTTTTTTTTAAAGAACTTGATTGGGCATGATGGCTCACATGTGCAGTCCCAGATACTCAGGAAGCTGAGGTGGGAGAATCGCCTGAGCCAAGGAGTGCAAGGCTGCAATGTGCTGTAGTCACACCCTCTCACTCTAGCTTGGGTAATGGAGCAAGATGTTGTCTCAAATGAAAAAGACACAAAGGTCTGCTTCCCAAGATTCACTGGAAAAGCCCCAACACAGCTCACCGGGAGCTCCAGGTGCAGACAGTGCCATCCCCTAAACAATCTGCCAGGCCCTAGAGGCCCATACAAGAGATCCCCCAGCAAAGTCTGAGGCTGTGGTGGGAAGCAGTGGATGTAGCGTCAAAGTTTCACAGAGTAATTATAATGAGAGGTTTCACAGCTAGGAAGTGCCAGAACCTGGGAGCGCCTGGCTCAAAGCAGCTGTGAAATTCCCAGTGTGGTCTGGAAACCACCCATCATTAAGAGGAGGGACAGGTGGGCCAGGCATGGTGGCTCACGCCTCTAATCCCAGCACTTTGGGAGGTCAAGGCAGTCGAATCACTTGAGGTTAGGAGTTCGAGATCAGCCTGGCCAACATGGTAAACTCCAACTCTACTAAAAATACAATTAGCTGGACATGGCGGCGCGGGCCTATATTCCCAGTTACTCGGGAGGCTGGGGCAGGAGAATCGCCTGAACCAACCCCGGAGGCAGAGGTTGCAGTGAGCCAAGATTGCACTCTGGGCTGGACGATACAGCAAGACTCTGAAAAAAACAAAGTAGGGACAGGTGGCTGGACCAGTCATGAGGCTAACAGTGGGAGCCTTTATCATCTAAGGCAAACCAAGAAAGTGAGTCACCTCCTCTTTGATGGAGGAAGAGGGCCCCACATAGGTAGTGGAAGAACAGTCAGCAAAGGCCAGAAATGGCTGATTTAAGACGCATTCCTCAAATGCACCCCCCCAGCCTGCCCCGAGAGGCCCTGGTGGGAAGCAGTGAGTGTACGGAGCAAACAGGAGGGTGGAGGCCGCCCCTCTAGTCTAGCCTGCAGTCCCAGGAGGTTGGGGTAAGGTAGTGTGGTGAGAACTCCAAGAGTCTGGTATTAATGCAGCACCTACTGTATGCATGAATCCTGACATGTCATTCCAAGTTCAAAAGGAAAAATTCTGAGTTGGGAAGCTGCCCTCTCTGGTCCCAGCTGTGTCCCCAGAACCCAGTGTGTCACAACAAATATTTGCTGCAGAATGAAACCCTTCCTCCACCCCCTACTCCAGCCATGCGAAGGCTGTTATTACCCCCACGGTGTGGATGAGTAAACCCAGACTCAGAGAAAGCCAAGGCCAAGGCTCTGGCCAGCTCCCTGGGGGGCATTCCTGGGAAAGGCCTGGAATTGTGAGGCCTGGGGGTCACCGTCCTGCCCTGGAACCAGGCACTGTAGCAGCCACCTGGGGTTCAAATCCCAGCCCTGTCCCAACCATCCAGGTCCTCCTCATTCATGCTTTAGTTCATTTCATGGAACGAGACCCAGGGGTGACCAAGACACAGAGGGCTCCAGTTCCAACAGAATTTTCACCCTTCCCCTCTCTGTGGCCTCAGTTTCCTCATCTGTGAAATGGGACCAACCAGGCCTACATCACGGCGAAGGAGTTAAGGAACAGAGACTAAGGCCAGGCCAAGGACCCATCAAACCCCTGAAGAGTTCAGAGAGGGTGGGGCCGAGCTGGGACTTATTTCTCGCCCCAGGCACCAAGCCTGGCACACCGGAGGCACCCAATAAATGCTGGTTTGAGCCAGGCCCAGCCCTCAATAAATAACAGCTGTTGCTGATGCCGCAGAGGCTGGCGAGGAAGTGAGCTCTCCCCTCCTCAACTCCACCACCCCATGCTCCCATCCCTCCGAAGGCCCCATTCCTTACCCCCTCCACTCCTTCCAACACCCCCCAACCAAATTTAGCCCCTTCCTCTTCAACCCAACTCAGCCCCCTCCTCCAGGTCCCCACCTCCCCCCACCCAACTCAGCCCCTTCCTCCAGGCCCCCACCTCCCCCCACCCAACTCAGCCCCTTCCTCCAGGCCCCCACTTTCCCCCACCCAACTCAGCCCCATCCCCCAGGCCTCCACCTCCCCCTACCCAACTCAGTCCATCCTGCAAATCCCCACCCCCACCCACCCAACTCAGCCCCTTCCTCCGGGCCCCCATCTCCCCCAGCAACTCAGCCCCTTCCTCCACGCCTCCGTCTCCCACTGCCCCTTTCCATTCAAACTTCGCCCTCCCCCAACCTCTCCCTCCCTTTCCCCGAACCCCCAGCCACCCAATTCTGCCTCCATCCCCATCCCCCACCTGATTATTTCTCCCCTCCCCCGCCCATTCTCCCCGCCCCCACTCGATTTCCCCCGCTTCGTCTCCTCCCCGCCCCCGCGATTCCCCAGCCCTCTCCCGGGCAGCGGGAACGCTGGTCCCGGGCGGGGCAGCCCGAGTTCCCGGGTCCCTGGCTGGGGTCCAGCCAGCGGCCCAGGCCGGGCGGCGGCGGGCGGGCGGGGTTTCTGGCCGCGCGCGGTTTGGGGGTTTTTTTTATAACCCTGGCAGGCGGCTCAGGAAGTGCCTTCCCCGCGCCCCCTCCCCCGGCCACGCCGCCGCGCTCGCTCGCTCCCTCCCTTCCTGCGCGCGGGGCAGCGAGACGGCGGCGGCCACAGCGCGGAGGCCCCGGGCGCGGCGCAGGTAGCGGGGCAGGCGGGGGGCCCGGGGGTGCGTGACTCAGTGGGATTTTGTGTGTCCTCATCGGGCTGTGAGGCAGCGGGGATCTGGTGCCCTGGATGGGGGAGGGCGTCCTGCTGTGCGACTGGGGTCGGTGCCGGAGGTCCCCAAGTGCGCGCTCCACTGATCGTGCCTGGGGTGGCCGTGGGTTGGTTTGGGGTGTGTGTGTGTGTGTGTGTGCGTGGCCGTCCACGTAGGGGCGGAGTGGTTGTGCATTCCAGGTGTGTGTCAGTGTCCGGGGATGCGTCTCTGTTGTGTATCTGCCTGTGTGTGTGTGTTCAGTGTGTGCGCATAGGGGTTTGCTGTGTGCACGCAGATTTGGAGGTGAGTGTGTGTGTCCCCAAGCATCTGTGCGTTTGTCTCTGTGATGTGTGTGTAAATGCCTGTGTGTGTCTGGTGCGTGGGGGGGTGTCTGGGTCCGTGTCTCGGACTTTCGAGTTTGTCTCTGGTCTGGTGTGAGCATGCAAATGAGCGTGTATGTGTCCGAGTATAGGCCTGTGTGTCTGTCTCCTTGGGTTGTCTGTGTGTATGTGAGTGTGTGTTTCTATGTGTGTAGGCCCCGGGTATGTGTATTTGTGTGTCCGTGTGTTTCTCTGGCTTGCCCCTTGTGTGCGTGTGTAAATGAGTGTGTGTTTACACATGTCTGGAAGTGTGTAGTTGTGTCTTCATGTGTTTGTCTGAGTGTGCACTGAGCCTGTCGGCGTGTGTATCTTTGGGGGAGGCTTCCTGGCGTCTTTTGTGAGTCTGCAGTGCCCCAGCGCCGGTCTCTGGCTGCGCGGGGTGTGTGTGTGTGTGTTGCTGCCAGTGTGTGTTTGTGTGTCTGGGTGTGGGAGTGGCGCCGCCCACTTCCCCTGAGTTGGTCACTGAGGCCACAGCCGTCTGTCTCAGGGTGCCTCCAGCGGTCGGGCTCAGGGCCTTTAATTAGCGGTCGGTTGTGGGGGACCAGCCCGGGCGCCGGCCCCCTCCTCCCGCAGGCCCCAGCTGGGCCTTTGTCTGCTCTCCGGGCAGGGGCTGCCTCCTGCCGGCCTGGCCAGATGTGCAGCGGGAGGAGGCAGGCAGCCGGCAGGCTGGGGCCTCTGCCTGGGCAGACGCGGCCTTGGCCTCTACAGGGGACCTGCCGTCGGCCCTGTCCCCCCAGCCTGGCTGGAGAGGTCTAGGTGTAGAGCTGAGGGTCCCTCTAGGATCCCCAGGATAGGATCGGACGGATCCTCTGTTTCTAAGCCATTTCCATTTCCCGGAGGCATTTCCTCCTCCAGGCCTGGCACCCTCCCCTACGCTGGCCACCTCCCTCCTGCCTTCAGGGAGGAGGGGCTGGAGGAATGGCCAGGCCTGGGTACACACACACGGAGTCACACACTCACATGCTATAATCCATATGCAGTCACAGGTCACACACACGGTCACATGCCATAATATACATGCAGTCACATGCTCACAGTCACACACACATGGTCACACTTACATGCTGTAATACACATGCAGTCACACACACACAGGGTCTCACACACACACGTGCTGTAATCCACATTTAGTCACATGCTCACATACAGGGTCACACACTCATGCTGTAATCCACATGCAGTCACTTGCTCACAGACACAGGGTCACACACTCACATGCTGTAACCCATATGCAGTCATGCTCACATACAGGGTCACACACTCATGCTGTAATACACATGCAGTCACGCAGTCACACACAGGGTCACATGCTCACATGCTGTAATCCACATGCAGTCACGTTCACATACAGGGTCACACACATGCTGTAATACACATACACTCACACAGGGTCTCACATGCAGTCACATGTGAGTCATACATGTCACATGCTCACACAGGACCACATACTCACATGCTGTAATGCACACGCATGTAATACACACACATAGTCACACGCCACAGTGCAGATCCCTCTCTGGCATCCCGTTGCCCACCACCATCTCTGTCCCCGAGCCCCTCTCAAGGTTCATCTGCTGCCCCAGACACACTGCCTTGTTCATGTCCCCCCACCACCCACCACCCAGTACCCGGGGCTGTGTCACACCTCTCCAGCACCTTGTGAGCAGGGCCCCAGCTCAGACACCTGTGAACCTTCTGCAGACCCCCTCTTCCCCCAACCCCATGCATTGTGCACAGGTGAGTCCCCTGCCCCTGCCCCCACCCCCTATGCTGGGTCCTTCCACAATGTCCCAAGCCTTGTCCCTCACCCCCTACCTCAGTCCAAAGCATAGAAGGGGGTGTGAGGGTTTTGGGAGGAGCGCCTCACTTCAGAGGACAGTGATGAGGACTGGGGGTGTTAGGGGGACCGGGACAGACCCAAAGACACTCTAGACAAGACTAGAGAGCCCCTGAAGGAGGAGGATGGGCACCAGGCCTGGCAAAGCAAGAACGGGAGAGGAGGGAGGGAGCCAATGGAGACGTGGGGGAGGTCCCTGCTTCACTTGCAATGTGTGTGTTGCTACCTTTCAGGGGTGGCTTAGGGCAGGAGGGGGGTGTCAGAGGTTCCCAACCAGGAAGGGCCTTGATTTGGGAGTTGGTTGACACCTCCAAAGAAGGAATAAGGGAGAAGCAAGAAGAGATGGAGAGGGAGAAGAGGTGGGTCTTGTTGGAGGGGTTCATTAGTAACAGAAGAAAGAAAAGGTTTAAGGGAAGTTCTTCAGGGGCAGAGAGAGGGTCAGAATTTCCTCAGCGATCCCTGAGCTACAGACTCAGGTCGTGCTGAAGATCAGCCCGGCTCCTCTTTGACCCCTCCCTGCCCAGGCTCCAAAGAAGAAGAAACCAAGGCCCAGAGAGGCCCAGGTGCAGGAAGCAGGCAAGGGAAGGATCCGAACAGGAGCCCAACACTACTCCACCAACTGAAGCCCCCAAAAGGTAAAAAAAAAGAGGCCAGGCGCAGTGGCTCATGCCTGTAATCCCAGCACTTTGGGAGACGGAAGCAGGCGGATCATGAGGTCAGGAGTTCGAGACCAGCCTGGTCAACATGGTGAAACCCCATCTCTACTAAAACTACAAAAATTAGCTGGGTGTGGTGGTACGCACCTGTAGTCCCAGGCACTCGAGAGGCTGAGGCAAGAGAATCACTTGAACCTGGGAGGCGGAGGTTGCAGTGAGCCGAGATCACACCACTGCACTCCAGCCTGAGTGACAGAGGGAGACTCCCTCAAACAAACAAACAAACAAACAAAAAGAACAACAACAAAAGTAATGGGCATTAGCCCAGCTAAAGTGTGCAATAGGGTCACAGTATCTATGAGTGAGCTTCCCGTCACTGGAGGGTTCTAAGCAGAAGTGGGGAATGTGGGCTTCTCGGTCCATCAGCAACTTGGCAAAAACCTGGCTCCCTCCCTCCCTTGGGGCTGCACTGCCCTGTTTGGGGATTGACTCTCAGACTTGGACTCTCAGACTTGGCTGGGCTGCAAAGAAAACAAGACTGTGTGATTGAGAGATTTTGCACAGAGGAGGAGGAGGGCGGAGACAGGAGGGTGGGGTAAGAGGGGTTTGGCACAGGGTGGTGGCCTGCTTCGGGTGTCTGTGGCAGGCTGGCCTGGGGCAGATGCTGGAGAGACTGAGACCTGCAGGGTGGGCTGGCCTGGAGCCTTGAAAAGAGAAGAGGGAAGGAAACACAGGGCAGAGGAGAGGCCTAGGGTGTGTGGGTTGGACCATGCTACCCATTTCGGAGACTCCACAGACAGGGCCCGGGACTGACTGGGTGCGTGGGTGGGAATATGAGAGGCTGTGGGACTGGAGTACTAGCCTTAGCTTTAAGCTGGCTTGAAAACTCACACTGGCCACCCAAGCCTTCAAGTGCCAGCCTCCCCTTCCTCTCCTGCACCCACACTGCCTGGGTCCATGCCAGGCTCTACCCCACCTTCAAGCCTTTGACCTTCCTGTTTCCCCTCCTGGTGCACCCTCCCGTCTCTTCAGACCACTGATCTCATGCTTTGAACCTCTGCTTCCCAATCTCCCCATTGATACCTTCTACAGAACATGTCACAACCTGAACTCTTCTCCATTCACCTAACTGTCATTGTCACTCTTAAGAGACTGAACCCCACAGGGCTAGGGCAAGTAAGGGTTGCTATCCTTAGCATGTCTGACTGTCATGCCCCCATCCATCCTCCATCAATGAATGAACCCAGGTTCCACCACTTTCTAGCAGTATGACCCAGGGCAAATTCTATCACACCTGAGTCTAGTTCCTCATCTATAAAAAGAGTGTGATGTGAAGTCAGGAGTTCGAGACCAGCCTGGCCAACATGGTGAAACCCCCTCTCTACTAAAACTACAAAAAATTAGCCATGCTTGTTGGCACATGCCTGTAGTCCCAGCTACTCAGGCGGCTGAGGCAGGAGAATTGCTTGAACCTGGGAGGCGGAGGTTTCAGTGAGCCAAGATCCCACCATTACAGTCCAGCCTGGGCAACAGGGGGAGACTCCCATCTCAAAAAAAAAAAGAGTGTGATGACTTTGACCTCAGTTACTTTGAAATGAAATGCAATGGTGGGCTGGGTGCAGTGACTCATGCCTGTAATCCCAGTCCTTTGGGAGGCCGAGGTGGAAGGATCACTTGAGGCCAGGAGTTCAAGATCAGCCTGGACAACAAAGTGAGACCCCTGTCCCTCCAATAAAACAAAAACATTAGGCCTGGTGCGGTGACTCACACCCAGCACCTTGGGAGGCCAAGGTGGGTGGATCACGAGGTCAGGAGATCAAGACCGTCGTGGGCTAACACAGTGAAATCCTGTGTTAGCCCACGGGATCCCCTACTAAAAATACAAAAAAAAAAAAAAAATAGCCAGGCATGGTGTCACATGCCTGTAGTTCTAGCTACTGGGGAGGCTGAGGCAGGAGAATCACTTGAACCAGGGAGGCGGAGGTTGTGGTAAGCCAAGATTGCACCATTGCACTCCAGCCTGGGTAACAGAGCCAGACTCCATCTAAAAAAAAAAAAATTAGCCAGGTGTGGTGGCATACACCTGCAATCTCAGCTACTTGGGAGGCAGAGAGAGGAGGATTGTTTGAGCCCAGGATGTGGAGGCTGCAGTGAGCTACAGTCACACCACTGCACTCCATCCTAGGTGACTGGGGCAAGTAGCTGGCACTTAGGACGTACTCCCCAGCATCCCAGTCCCTGCCTGTCCTCTTGTAGGAGTGTAGGAAGGATTGGAAGGGGAGGTGGGGAGAGGGGAGTGACTGAATGAGAAAATGTATTCGGAATCTTCAGAGTCAGGTGGAAAGCTTTGGCCATGGTTGGCCTTGGCATTGGTTGTGCTGGACAGCGGGACCAGGCACCCCCTTACCTGGCTCCCCGCTCCCAGGAGCCCGGTGATGCTGCGCAGGCTGTGAACAGGAGAGGCGGCACTGTGGGGGCTGCCGGCAGCCAGGGCTGGGGAGAGACATGTGGACACGTGGCCTCTATGGCTCCCGCCTGCCAGATCCTCCGCTGGGCCCTCGCCCTGGGGCTGGGCCTCACCTTCGAGGTCACACACGCCTTCCGGTCTCAAGGTAGGGGAAGTCTGGTGGTGGCGGTGGGGAGGGAGCTAAAAATTTGAGACCAGTTGGGTTCCAACAGAAAGAGGTATTGTGGGCTGGGATGGGGGTTAGCGGGGGAAGGCCCTGGGGTCAACAGGCGGGAGCCTTGCAGCCAACTCCCTGGATTTCGGGTCAGTGAGGCCAGCGTCACTTGCTCCAGCAGCCTAACAGCCAGGACACAGGGGTCCACTAAAACCAGGGCCCACCCAGGCCTCTGACCCTCACCCACAGATGAGTTCCTGTCCAGTCTGGAGAGCTATGAGATCGCCTTCCCCACCCGTGTGGACCACAACGGGGCACTACTGGCCTTCTCTCCACCACCTCCCCGGAGGCAGCGCCGGGGCACAGGGGCCACAGCCGAGTCCCGCCTCTTCTACAAGGTGGCCGCACCCAGCACCCACTTCCTGCTGAACCTGACCCGAAGCTCCCGTCTACTGGCAGGGCACGTCTCCGTGGAGTACTGGACACGGGAGGGCCTGGCCTGGCAGAGGGCTGCACGACCCCACTGCCTCTACGCTGGTCACTTGCAAGGCCAGGCCAGCAGCTCCCGTGTGGCCATCAGCACCTGTGGAGGCCTGGTGAGCTGAAGATTCTGGAAAGTGGGGGAGAAATGCCCACAAGTTTGGAAGTTAAGAAAAACACTTCTACATAGAAGGCAGAGAAGGAATGATAATGGGACATTTTTTTAAAGTATTTTGAGTGAATCAGTACTTTTGGGGTGCAGCTAAAGCAGTACTTGGAGGAAAATGTATAGCCTTAGGTAAGGCTGAAAATTAATGGGCTAAGCATCTATCTATATACACTTATGCATTTATAAATATATTTATCTATAGGTATGTATGTGTATGTATATGTATATGTATACACATACACGCACACATATATATGCACATATATATAATTAAAAACTAAAAAGAAATTAGAGGCTGAGCATGGTGGCTCATGCTTGTAATCTTAGCACTTTGGGAGGCCAAGGCAGGAGGATGACTTGAGGCCAGGAATTTGAGACCAGCCTGAGCAATGTAGTAGAACCCCATCTCTGTGAAAAAATAAATTTAAATATTTAAAAATTAGCCAGATATATTGGTGTACTCCTACAGCCCCAGCTCCCCGGGCTGAGGCAAGAGAATCGCTTGAATCCAGGAGGTTGAGGCTGCAGTGAGCTATGATTGCACCACTGCACTCCAGCCTGGATAACACAGTGAGACCTTGTCTCTAAAAAAAGAAGAAAAAAAGAAAAGAAAGAAATAGCATGGATACTAATTACCTATACCAAAAAATATATAAATAGCAAAATAAACCTGATAAGAATGAAATCATAAAGACAAAGAGAAGGTCCCAGGGGTTCTAAGCTTCAGAACTTGATTCTGAGAGCTTTCTGTCCCACTCCCCAAAACCCAGCATGGCCTGATTGTGGCAGACGAGGAAGAGTACCTGATTGAGCCACTGCAAGGTGGGCCCAAGGGTTCTCGGGGCCCGGAGGAAGGTGGACCACATGTGGTGTACAAGCGCTCCTCTCTGCGTCACCCCCACCTGGACACAGCCTGTGGAGTGAGAGGTACATTGGTCTTCCCGGGGATGGGTAGAGGGGCTGGCTACAGAGTGTCTTTCCTTTGAGGCAGCAGTGTCTTTTCATCCAGAAAGTCAGCAGGCAGCTTTGTGAGGGGAAGATTGGAACTGCTGAGAAGGGGACATGGCGATATAATTAGCCACTGCCGGGTGCAGTGGCTCACGCCTGTAATCCCAGCACTTGGGAAGGCCAATGCAGGAAGATCACTTGAGGTCAGGAGTTCAAAACCAGCTTGGCCAACATGGTGAAACCCATCTCTACTAAAAATACAAAAATTACCCGAGCATGGTGGTGGGTGTCTGTAATCCCAGCTACTCAGGAGGCTGAGGCCAGAGAACTGCTTGAACCCCGTAGGCAGAGTTTGCGGTGAACTAGGATCATGCCATTGCACTCCAGCCTGGGTGACAGAGCAAGACTCCATCTCAAAAAAAAAAAAAAAAAAATTAAGGAGTTCCATCCAAGATAGCAGAGACATATCCTCAGACAGCAAACCAGTGGAGCAATGGAATAATCTATCCCTGCTATAGTCAGCTGACCCAGCAGTGAGTAAGACAGCCAGACAGGTGTTCAGGTCTACAACCATTCTTTCTCTAGGATTATTGTCTGATCAGACAGTTAGTGTGGTGGTTGTATCAGATACTCCAGCAGTTATGCAGCCTAAGGCCAGATTTACAATCAGACTGGTAGAAGGATGGTTGTACAATCAGGCATTTAGGAAATGAGAGTCGGAAAGCTACATACCAACAAAATATTTACCAGCGTAATTGTACTGTTAGGAAACCAGGTCAGGCCGGGCATAGTGGCTCACACCTGTAATCCTAGCACTTTGGGAGACTGAGGCAGGAGGATCGCTTGAGTCTGGGAGTTTGAGAACAGCATGGGCAACGTAGTGAGATACCATCTCAACAAAAAATTTAAAAAATTAGCCAGGTGTGGTGTGTACTCCTGTAGTCCCAGCTACTTGGGAGGCTGAGGCAGGAGGATCACTTGAGCCAGGGAGGTTGAAGCTGCAATGAGCCATGATCACACCACTGCACTCCAGCGTGGGCAGCTGAGCAAGATCCTGTTTCAAAGGATACATATAGAGAATCAGGGCCAGGCACAGTGGCTAATGCCTGTTATCCCAGCATTTTGGGAGGCCAAGATGGGTAGATCACTTGAGATCAGGAGTTGAAGATCAGCCTGGCCAACATGGCGAAACCCCGTCTTTACTAAAAATACAAAAATGTTAGCCAGGCATGGTGGCACACACCTGTAATTCCAGCTACTTGGGAGGGTGAGGCAGGAGAATCACTTGAACCCTGGAGGCAGAGGTTGCAGTGAGCCGAGATTGCGCCACTGCACTCCACTCTGGGCAACAGAGCAAGACTTCATTTCAAAAAAAAAAAAGAAAATCAAATGAATGTTAGATGGAAAAGCAGAATAATGTGATACTGAATTAAATGTATAATCAGAGTCTGTGAGGAGGTTGTTGAGGTAGACATACAGCCACAGTGGTTGTACAAACAGAAAATGTGGATAACGCATGATCACAGTTGGGTGGTCCATGAGACTGTCTGGTCGCAGTGCATCAGGCAGTATGATTGTCCTAACTGCAGTGCATTGTAGTTAAAACTAACTGATTTAACTGGGCAGTGCATTGGTTGGAGAGTTGCTCAGCTAGGACAGCGCGACGTCCAAGCACACAGTTCAGACAGCAAAACAGGCTGGTTCACACCCTTCCATTTGGGCAGTGGAATTGTCAGTGGATTGTACAATCATCCTGGTCATCATGGGACAGTGGTTCAGCCAACCAGCTTAGCTGTGGAACAGTCCTGCCAGTGTTCTTTGGACATCTGTGCAGTGGGACAGGCTGGTGGCTGAACAGCTTGGCATACAGGCAGTGGAACAGCTGGATAGCTATACAGCCAACAATGGGAGAAGTCAGGCTGTGATTCAACTCAACAATTTGGCAGTGGGACAGTGACATCATGGTAGATTACAATATTCTCAGGTAGTAGTAGGACATTGGCAAAAAAATAGACATGGTACTGCCAAGATGCCCTATAGACACACAGTGAGGTGGCCAGGCACAGTGGCTCACACACGTAATCCCAGCACTTTGGGAGGCTGAGACGGGTGGTTCACTTGAGGTCAGGAGTCCGAGACCAGCCTGGCCCACATGGTGAAACCCTGTCTCAACTAAAAATACAGAGGTTAGCTGGGCATAGTGGCATATGCCCGTAATCCCAGCTACTCAGGAGGCTGAGGCAGAAGAATTGCTTGAACCTGGGAGGCAGAGGTTGCAGTGAGCCAAGATTGCACCACTGCACTCCAGCCTGGGTAACAGAGTGAGACTCCATCTCAAAAGTAAAAAATAAAAAAGATACAGTGTTTGGCAGCCCATTGGTTAGCCACACATGGTGGTGCACTCCTATGGTCCCAGCTACTTGGGAGGCTGAGGCAGGAGGATCACGTGAGCCAGGGAGGTTGAGTCTGCAATGAGCCATGATCACACCACTGCACTCCAGCGTGGGCAACAGGGCAAGATCCTGTCTCAAAATGTACATATAGAAAATGAGGGCCAGGCACGGTGGCTCACGCCTATAATCCCAGCATTTTGGGAGGCCAAGAGGGGGAGATCATTTGAGCAGATGGACCATCAAATAGGTAGCTGGACGATAAGAGAAGGCAGCAGAATGACCAGAAATTGTCTGTCCAGACTGTTGGGTAGAGGGGGAGCCAGATAGAGGTTGGACAAGACAGTGGTCAGGCAGCTCCGGGCCCCACCAACAGGACAGGGCTTAACTGCTCTACTGGGTCCCCAGATGAGAAACCGTGGAAAGGGCGGCCGTGGTGGCTGCGGACCTTGAAGCCGCCGCCTGCCAGGCCACTGGGGAATGAAACAGAGCGTGGCCAGCCAGGCCTGAAGCGATCGGTCAGCCGAGAGCGCTACGTGGAGACCCTGGTGGTGGCTGATAAGATGATGGTGGCCTATCACGGGCGCCGGGATGTGGAGCAGTATGTGCTGGCCATCATGAACATTGTAAGTGCCTTCCCCTCCCTGGGCCTGCAGCCCTGAGGACCTGGAGCCAGCCTCCAGGTGTTAGGCAAGGGGGTGGCAGCTACCATCCCACCCCTAATCCCTGATTTGGGGGCAAGGTGAGAAAGGAAGGTTACGCATGGCAGTGAACAAGGAGAAAGGGCATATCACAGCGACTAGATGCAGAGGGGTACCCTGGGGCAGAGGTAACCTGCCAGGGTTTACAGTTCCACTCTGCCACCTTTTAATTGTCTGCCTTTGAGTAAGTTACTTCACCTCTTTGCCTTGCCTTACCTATCTGTAAAATGGGCATAATTGTGGTAAAGCTAAGATAAAGCAACTTTATAAAGCTAAGATAGATCCAGAGTGTTGATAAAGTATGTAGAACAGTTCTTGGCATGCAGTAGGTGACATATAAGTGTTTGCTGTGTGTAAAAATAAACACACATGGGCCAGGCACAGTGGCTCACGCCTGTAATCCCAGCACATTGGGAGGCCAAGGTGGGTGCCTCACCTGAGGTCAGGAGTTTGAGACAAGCCTGGCTAACATGGTGAAAACCTGTCGCTACTAAAAAATAGAAAAAATTTGCCAGGTGTGGTGGCAGGTGCCTGTAATCCCAGCTACTCAGGAGGCTGAGGCAGGAGAATCGCTTGAACCCAGGAGGTGGAGGTTGCAGTGAGCTGAGATCACGCCACTGCACTCCAGCCTGGGCAACAGAATGAGACTCCATCTCAAAAAAATTAAAAAATAAACACACACCAGTCTGGGACACATAGTGAAACCCTATCTCTACACAACATTTAAAAATTAGTAGAGCCTGGTGGCATACACCTGTAGTCCCAGCTGCTCAGGAAGCTGAGGCAGGAGGATCACTTGAGCCCAGAAGTTTGAGGCTGCAGTGAGTTATGGTTAGGATCTCTGCCATTCATTCATTCATAAATAAATAAATCACAGCAGGCCAGGCGCAGTGGCTCACGCCTGTAATCCCAGCACTTTGGGAGGCTAAGGCGGGTGGATCATCTGAGGTCAGGAGTTAGAGACCAGCCTAGCAAACATGGTGAACCCTGATCTCTACTAAAAATTTAAAAATTAACTGAGCATGGTGGTGGGCACCTGTAATCCCACCTACTTGGGAGGCTGAGGCAGGAGAATCACTTGGACCCAGGAGGTGGAGCTTGCTGTGAGCCAAGATCACACCACTGCAGCCTGGGCGACAAGAGTGACACTCCATCTCAGAATGAATGAATGAATGAACGAAAACAGCTTGCAGGTACTCACTGAGGTTAGCAGTATACACATAGGCACACAACTGTATGTGTGCAGCATTCTTGCACAAGCACCTACTTATAAATTGCAACAGATTTACATCCCAGATTCACATTGAAATGTAGTCAATTTCCATTCTAGATCTCTTAACCTCTCTAAGCCTCAGCTTACCTCTCTATCAAATGGCGTTATAATGGTTGCTACCAGAGAGAGTAAGGGTTGGTGGGAGGGAAGCTACGTAGAGTACTTACCGCATAGTAAGGGCTTGATGAATGGCGTCTTGTTTCACTGAAGCAAAAGGGAAAACAAAAAGTTTAGCAGACAGGCAGTGTGTCCAAAATGTTGTGTAATGCTGTCACTAATGGCACTCTGTTGTTCCCGAGCCTGGCCTCTCTCCCTAGGGCTTTCCAAATTTCCTGGGGGTTTCCGGCCGGGCATAGTGGCTCACGCCTATAATCCCCAGACTTTGAGAGGCCAAGAAGGGTGGATCACTGAGGTCAGGAGTTCGAGACCAGACTGGCCAACATGGTGAAACCTCGTCTCTACTAAAAATACAAAAATTAGCTGGGCCTGGTGGCGAGCACCTGTAGTCCCAGCTACTCGGGAGGCTGAGCCAGGAGAATCCCTCGAACCCAGGAGGTGGAGGTTGCAGTGAGTCAAGATTGTGCCACTGCACTCCACACTCCATCTGGGGCAACACAGTGAAACTGTCTCCAAAAAAAAAAAAAAATTCCTGGGGATTTCCAGACAGGGAAATTACTGCCCAGGGCTCCAGGATCCCTGCACAGCCTGGCCTCTGTCTTCTGTGCCCACTCATCCCTGGAGCTGCTTCCTCCTTTCCTCTGACCACTGACTCTAGAGCCTCCTACCCCCAGTTTTATCTTCCTGTGGTGATGGGCAAATTGGTACCTTCAGACAGCTGTGGAATGAAGCCAGACATGTACATCCCTCAGGTCGCCTCTGGGCAAAGACACTTGAGGCAGTCAGGGGGGTAAGCAGGGGTTGAATCACGCTTGAACACGGGAGGCAGAGGCTGCAGTGAGCCATTGCACTCCAGCCTGGGTGACAAGAGCAAAACTCCATCTCAAAATAAATAAATACATAAATCACAGCTTGCAGGTACCCATTGAGGTTAGCAGTGAGGCCGGGTGTGGTGGCTCACACCTGTAATCCAAGCACTTTGGAGGCCAAGGCGGGTGGATCACCTGAGGTCGGGAGTTCAAACCAGCCTGACCAACATGGTGAAACTCCATCTTTAAAAAAAAAAAAAAAAAGAGGTTAGCAGTACACACAGGCCCACATCTGTATGCATGCAGCATTCTTGCACAAGTAGATAAGCTAAACTTGGAGGAGTTTGAAAGAAATGCTCTGGTAAGCAATCCAGACTTGAGTCTTACTTCTGACACCTGCCAGCTATGTCCTAACCTCTCTTTACATGTCTCCTTGTCTGTAAATTGGGGGTGATAATAGCACCTATTCATGAACAGATACATGGCCAGGCACGGTGGCACACACCTGTAACCCCAGCACTGTGGCAGGCCAAGCCAGGAGGATCACTTGAGGTCAGGAGTTCGAGACCAGCCTAGCCAACATGGTGAAACCCCTTCTCTACTAAAAATACAAAAATTAGACAGCCATGGTCAGGTGCGATGGCTCACACCTGTAAGGGAGCCAAGGTGGGTGGATCACCTGAGGTCAGGAGTTTGAGACCAGCCTGGTTAACACGGTGTAACCCCGTCTCTACGAAAAATACAAAACAATTAGCCAAGTGCGGTGGTGGTTGCCTGTAATCCTAGTTACTCGGGAGGCTGAGGCAGGAGGATCGCTTGAACATGGGAGGCAGAGGTTGCAGTGAGCCAAGATCGTGCCATTGCACTCCAGCCTGGGCAACAAGAGCGAAACTCTGTCTCAAAAAGAAAAAAATTAGGCAGGCATAGTGGTGCACCTGGAGTCCCAACTACTTGGGAGGTTGAAGCAGTAGAATCACTTGAACCCGGGAGGCGGAGGTTACAGTGAGCTGAGATTGTGCCACTGAACTCCAGCCTGGGCAACAGAGCAAGACTCCATTTCAAAAAAAAAAAAAAAAAAGTACCTATTCATGAAAAGACTGATGCAGGATCAGGTGTGGTGGCTCACACCCGTAATCCCACCCTAGGGGAGGCCAGGCAGGAGGGTCACTTGAGGTCAGGAGTTCAAGACGAGCCTGAGCAACATAGCAAGCACTCATGTCTAACAACAATAACAACAACCAAAAAGTCCTGATAGCATGTTTAGCCTAAGACCCAGCACACAGTAGGTACCTGATTAAAGCAAGCTGGTATCATTGTTTTTGCTTTTCATTTTCTACCCTGGGCTTCTCTTAAGACTCGGTCTCTCTTGTTTCTTGGAGGTCAGGTTGCCAAACTTTTCCAGGACTCGAGTCTGGGAAACACCATTAACATCCTGGTGACTCGCCTCATCCTGCTCACGGAGGACCAGGTGCGGGGGGGTCCCCTCCCCTTCCCCTTCCCTTTCTCCTTCCCCTTCCCTTCCCCTTCCCCTTCACACCAGCACGTTCTGCCATCCTCTGGGTGGTGGGTGCCCACGCACTTCCCTCTGTCCATCCCAGCCCACTCTGGAGATCACCCACCATGCCGGGAAGTCCCTGGACAGCTTCTGCAAGTGGCAGAAATCCATCGTGAACCACAGCGGCCATGGCAATGCCATTCCAGAGAACGGTGTGGCTAACCATGACACAGCAGTGCTCATCACACGGTGAGGGGAGAGGAGAGGTCCGGGACTGGGGCTGAGAAAACAGGAGGTCCCGGAACCGTTAGAGTCCAAACAGAGATGATTCTGCTGGGGGGTGGGAGGAGCAGGGGAGCCTGGGCCACCCCTGAGGGAGCCACAGTTGAGGAGGGGCTGCTTGAGAATGGGTAAGGGAGGTTTGGGGCTGTTTGGGCACCAATGTCATCATTCGTTCCTTCTCCCACTCATTCATTCATTGATTCATTCATTCATTCATTTGGTCAGTCACTCCCATATGCAGCTTCAGGTGAGAGGCAGATAGCGCTTCCCAGGCAGAGCTCAACCCCCAGAGCTGGGCATGGTGGCATCAGTAGGGCTCAGGGAGACAGCCCAGACCCCTCACTGCCCCCCCTCTCCTTTCACAGCTATGACATCTGCATCTACAAGAACAAACCCTGTGGCACACTAGGTACCTGAGCCCCGTAGGTTTCAGGCACCTATGAAGGCAATGGGCTGGGGTGAGACCTGGCAGGTTGATGGGGCCAGCCAGCACTGTCCTGAGCCCCCAGCCCCATCCCCACATGCCCGTCTTCCCAGGCCTGGCCCCCGTGGGTGGAATGTGTGAGCGCGAGAGAAGTTGCAGCGTCAATGAGGACATTGGCCTGGCCACGGCATTCACCATTGCCCACGAGATTGGGCACACGTGAGGCCAAGGGACACAGGAGGGGGAGGACGGGAGGAGCTGGGCGGGTCCCTCGGTGCCCGGCAGAGCCGACACCCCTTTCCCCAGATTCGGCATGAACCATGACGGCGTGGGAAACAGCTGCGGGGCCCGTGGTCAGGACCCGGCCAAGCTCATGGCTGCCCACATTACCATGAAGACCAACCCATTCGTGTGGTCATCCTGCAGCCGTGACTACATCACCAGCTTTCTAGAGTGAGGATGCACCTGCATGTCCCTCAGAGCGGGTCACACTCACAGTGGGGCGGGGGGTGACTTGGGGGATGATAGAAATCAGGGCTCCTCCCCGGGACCCCCATCCCACTGGGGCTCCTGAGCTCTTGACTTGCAGCTACCTATCATGACAGTTGCTTTTCTCTCGAGGCAGCTCGGGCCTGGGTCTCTGCCTGAATAACCGGCCCCCAAGACAGGACTTTGTGTACCCGACAGTGGCGCCAGGCCAGGCCTACGATGCAGATGAGCAATGCCGCTTTCAGCATGGAGTCAAATCGCGTCAGTGTAAATACGGGGTAGAGAGAGCCTTCCTGCTTTCCTTCCTGGGAGGGGAGGGGGCCGCTGAGGGTGGGGGAGGAAACTCCACCACGGCGCCCACCTGGGAAGTTGGGGGGTGGGAGAGCTGGGAAGGGGGGTGAGGTGAACCCCTGTGGGGATCTGAGAAGACAGAGGTGCATGGAGTGTGCAGAATATCCCAAAGAATCAGACAGTGCTTGGGAACAAAAATGGGATCACCTGCTTCTCTGGACCCCTGATTTGAGGGCTAGGCTGGAGGGGCCACCTTCTGTCTGGCACATTAGACTCCCTGTGGGCTACAGTAGGATCAAAGTCTCAAGCCCTCTCTCAGGGCAGTTTTAAACTAAACATCTAGTCCTGATGGAAATCATTTCCCTGGGGTGAGCCGTCTTCCCTACTTGGCAAAGAACTAGACAGAACCTTCCAGGGCCTCCCTGTCTTCACTCCCACGTTGCCCACTGGTTCACAAGCTCTCCTGACCCCAGTTCTTGGCTGGGGGAGCTCTGAGCCTCCTGACCTCTCCCCATTCTACTCCGAGATTTAGACTCCTAAAGCCCCAATTGTGCACAGAGAAGAGAGTTGGGCGTAGGGGGGTCTACTCCTAGCTCCCCACCAGGAAGCTGAAAACCTACTGGCTTCCTGCTTCAGCCACCAGGGTTCAGCCGGGGTCTGCTCCTCCTCTGCCCACCTGTCTTGATTCCCTAAATGCACCTCTCAGCTCCCCACAGTCTCACCCCTAGGGGCCCAGCCCCAGCCCCAGTTCTTCACACCCTCACAACTCAAAGGATCAGATGCCATGTTAACGCAAAGCAGAGGGCAAGCAGCTGCCAAATTGCCCTCCCTTCATTCCACTGCAAGACAGTGACAAAACCCTGGAACAATTTCTATTTCATTGACATTCCACCCTTGACCCGCCCCTCCCTCCTCTCCTCCCCCTCGCCCCACACTAACTTAGCTGGAAACTACAGCACCCTCTAAGGAATTCCTAAAGAATTCCAACGCTGCCCCTGAACATCTGCTGTGACCCAGGTACCCTAACAATGATGGTGGTAGCTGACATTTACTGAGCTCTCACTATGTGCTAAGTATGCGCTGTGTGTCATCATCTAAACTCCTGACAATCGTATTATCTCCCAAGTTACAGAGGAAGGGACTGAGCATAGCAGAGGGAGGTTTACTCGTCCCAGGCCACAATTCAAGACCATGGCAGAGCTGGGATTTAAATCCTGGTCTCTCATGACTCCAAATTTCACAAAGGGGCAGGGGAGGGGAGGAGTTGTCAAAATATCAAGCTTGGGCTGGCACTGGCTATATATTGAATTGAGCCTTTTAGATTTGAAGGTACATCTTTCAGGCCCTCTTGGCAATGGGGGATTTATTTACTACATGTGAACTGGTTAATATATATCAAGGGTTCAGCCTAGCGCCTGGTCCATAGGTAGTGGTGGTCATTGTTACCCCACAACGGCATTGGTGCAAGCCCTTTCATATCTACCCTGCCCATGCCTCATAGCTATTTATATAGGCAAGGCAGGCACTAGGCTGCCTATCTTGTAGATAAGTACACTGAGGCCCAGAGATGTTGATGTTGCAAGTCAGTAGCAGGGTTGAGGTCTCTGCACAACTCAAATATACCACAGTGCCTCCTTGTGGAGAGGTAGCCAAAAGCAGGACTGAAATCAGTCTCTTTAAGAGGTATCAGAAGTGGGATTGCTACTGGACTGATGTTATATTTTTAGACATGGCCAGGAGGACACAGGCTGAGTTTTTAGATAAGTTTTTTCCAGAGAACTGTCCTCTATAAGGCAGAAGGCAGAGACTCTAGAGGACTTTTGAGGGAGAATGTGTTTGAAGACAACTCTTCTAACTTCTCACGTATGTACAGGTATCTCTCAGGGGCTGACCTAGGAAGAGTCCTTTGCAATGGACATTGATTGATCCAGTCCCACATCTGGAAAGCTTACAAGAATTGTGTTCAAAGAGGGAAATCATACTTGATTATTACAGACGGATGACCTACTTCTTAGAGGAAAGACCCCGTGAGGTTGCTTAGCATGTGGGCCAAGAGGGTCAGAGATTTTGCTTCACCTGAACACAGTGGAGCTCCTCCAGGGATATTAATCTGGACTTTAAGGGTCAGAGTAGTCCCTGGGACTGGCCCAGCCCATGCAGGATTCAAATGGGAAAAGGGTGGGGCTGATTTTTCACCTAGAGAAAGAGAAGACTGTCCCACACAGACCCAACTTGGCATTGTCTCCTCCCAAACTCCCACCTCTCCCCATAGCTTGAAAGTGTTGGGGGGTTTCTTGAGTTTAGATGGGGGAAACAAAGAGAACCAACAGCTGGAAAAAACTAGAGATGAGGCCTTTGGCCTACTTACCATCCAGGCCTGGTTTCTCAGAACCACCACTTTCCTCTAAGCTACTTTGCCCATCCAAAAAAAGAACCCCAAATCCTTCCTGTTCATTCCTCAGCAGGTCCCAAGTTTCCTTCCAGAAACTCAGAAGGCACCAGGATCTGAATTGCAAAGTTAATTAGAGCACAGACTCTGAATTAAAGATCTGGGTTAAACTCCAGGCTACTCCCTTAGTAGCTGTGTAACCTCTAGCACGTGACCTTACCTGTCTGAATATTGGTTTTCTCCCAGTAAAATGGGGTAGTACTGCCTAAAGGGTACATGGCATGCATAAGGTGTTCCATAAATGCAGCTTATTGGCAGAGGATAAGTCACAAGCCATGCCCCGCAAGGGGATGTACGAAGACTCACTGCGAACCAGGAAGGGAGCACGCAGCTCTCTGCTCCCGGGCCGGCTGTGAGCAGGACATCTGGGTCCTCCCAAGCCGGGCGGGCTGCCCCAGGGAGGAAGGGAGGGGGGCGAGCCTGAGCGGGCGCCTCGGCCCGCAGGAGGTCTGCAGCGAGCTGTGGTGTCTGAGCAAGAGCAACCGGTGCATCACCAACAGCATCCCAGCCGCCGAGGGCACGCTGTGCCAAACGCACACCATCGACAAGGGGGTGAGCGCCAGACAGGGCACCCAGCTGAGCCACGCCCCCGGATCCACCTCTCGCGTTGGCCACGCCCACCAACCTGTGTCCTTCGGCCTATTGTTTGCTCCCTCCCGCATTAGCCACACCTACCATCTATTCTCCACCCCCTACCTGTGGCCATGCCTACTGCTTGCCCCTTCCAGTGTTGGCCACGCCCACCATTGTGCTTCCCCTTGGCTCTGGCCACGCCTATTGTTCCGCTCCCTCTCGCATTGGCCCACGCCCACCGTGTAGGCGGTCCCTCGGCTCTGGCCACGCCCACTGTCTGTAGGCCCCGCCCCTTTCTGAAGCCACGCCCCACCTCGTCTCCACGCTTATCCCAGTCCTGTCTACACCTCTCCCCTCCGGGTTCTGTACCCTACGCTCAGGCCACGCCTCTCGCTTGTACCGTGTCTGTCTCCCAGACCACTCTCCTACCTAACCTGGCCCTGTCCCCATCTTCAGACCCCGCCTCTGCTCATCCACTTTCCGTCCCATCCTGAAGGGGCCGAAAGCTCTCTGGCTGGGGCTTGGAGTGGGGAACGGTGCACGCGGCCGGCGATTGTCCTCGGGCTGGACTCACTCCTCCCTGTCTCCCCCGACCCAGTGGTGCTACAAGCGGGTTTGTGTCCCCTTCGGGTCGCGCCCCGAGGGCGTGGACGGAGCCTGGGGACCATGGACTCCGTGGGGCGACTGCAGCCGAACCTGCGGCGGCGGCGTGTCCTCTTCCAGCCGTCACTGCGACAGCCCCAGGTCAACCCTTGGGACCCCCACCCGGGAGGGCTTCGCGACCCCCGCCCCCATCTCCCCTTGCCTCATCTCTCTCCTGTCCCACTTCCCCTTCCAGACCAACCATCGGCGGCAAATACTGTCTGGGTGAGAGAAGGCGGCACCGCTCCTGCAACACGGATGTGAGTTATCCCAAATCCCTTGGGGGGCAGAGGAGGAAGCATTAAAAAGAGCTATCAGACCAGGCACACGGTGTCTCATGCCTGTAATCCCAGCACTTTGGGAGGCTGAGGCGGGGGGGAGCTGAAGTCAGGAGTTCAAGACCAGCCTGGCCAACATGGTGAAACTCCATATCTACTAAAAATATAAAAATTAGCCTGGCATGATGGCAGTTGCCTGTAACACAGCTACTCGGGGAGGCCGAGGCAGGAGAATCACTTGAACCTGGAATCGGAGGTTGCAGTGAGCCGAGATCACACCACTTCACTCCAGCCTGGGTGACAGAGCCAAACTCCATCTCAAAAAGAGAGAGAGAGAGAGATCAGAGTGCTCCAAACTCCATCTCAAAAAGAGAGAGTACACCAATTAAAACAATTAAGTGTGGGGAAAAAAGAGAGAGAGAGAGATCAGAGTGCTTCATCCGGGTGCCTGCCACCTCCTAAGGAACCTGCAGCCTCCTCTCCCCGACCCCCACCACCTTGCCTTCCTGAACCCCTCTTCCTCAATGACCTGGCTCCTTCCGGCTCTCTCTCTTCCTCCTATTTTCAGACTCAGGAGACGAGCCCGCACCTTGAAATCATTGCTTGGCCCTCACAACCCCCTACCATCCAGTCTGTCCCCTCCCTATACAGCTCAACTTCCCCCTAAGAGTCCCACCCCTGCCCTCTGTCATTCCCCAAAGCTGTAGCTGAAGCTGCCTCTCACCAAACCTAGTGGCAGGTGTCTATCCTCTGCTTGTGCCCTTAGCTGACCTGGGACCACCAGTGAGGTTTCCTGGGGAGAGGAGGGGGTTGTTTCAGAGAGCAGTGAGAGCTTTGGATTTTTTTAGCCCCACCATCTGGGGGGACCCAGGTTTTCAGAGAATCCACATGTTAGCACCTTCTATAAACCCTGATCCTTTCTAGACCTCCTCTCCCAAGAATGACTCCATATGGCCAGATGGGGTGGCTCATGCCTGTAATCACAGCACTTTGGGAGGCTGAGACGGGCAGATCACCTGAGGTCAGGAGTTCAAGACTAGCCTGGCGAACATGGTGAAACACCATCTGTACTGAAAATATAAAAATTAGCCGGGCATGGTGGTGAGCACCTGTAATCCCAGCTACTTGGGAGGCTGCGGCAGGAGAATTGCTTAAACCCGGGAGATGGAGGTTGCAGTTAGCTGAGGTGGCACCACTAAGCTCCAGTGAGTGAGATTGTGTCTCAAAAAAAAAAAGGCTCCAGAGTCTGGAACCAGAAACCCAGGTGTTCCTGCCCAGCTCACCTCCAAATCCCAAATGAGGGATCCAACCAGTCCTATCCCAGATGCATCTCCATGCCCAGCCCAGGCCACCTTCCAGGTCTAGTCTGACCCAGACCATCACAGCCTCCTCCCTGGCCTCCCTACCTCCAGCTCCCCTCCTCCAGCCCATTCTTCTCTGAGAACCCCTTTTCTGCTCTGACTCCAAGCCCCCAAACCTGGCCTCCCTCCTTCTCTCCTCTCCTGCCCCCAGGACTGTCCCCCTGGTTCCCAGGACTTCAGAGAAATGCAGTGTTCTGAATTTGACAGCATCCCTTTTCGTGGGAAATTCTACACATGGAAAACGTACCGGGGAGGTGAGTGAGGGTTTCTGAAGGCCATGGGGCCCTGAAAGGCAGCCGTGGGAATGTCTGGCAGCAGGTGAATGAATGCAGCCTCCCAGGGTCTGCCTGAGCCCTGTCCCCACCCAGGGAGCCACAGTACCCGGGAGAGAGTACCATGGGGCCTCTACTGGACGCCGTGAGCCCACAGTCCCTCTGCCCAAGCTGCCCATCCTCTTGGGTCTGGGGTCTATCCCTCTTGGCCTCACTCCCCCAGGGAGTGAGCAGGGAGTCCCGGGGTGGCCTGGCCCATGGTGTGACGGGGCTGTGCCCCCCAGGGGGCGTGAAGGCCTGCTCACTCACATGCCTAGCAGAAGGCTTCAACTTCTACACGGAGAGGGCGGCAGCCGTGGTGGACGGGACACCCTGCCGTCCAGACACGGTGGACATTTGCGTCAGTGGCGAATGCAAGGTGCAGGGGACGCCCAGGGAGTGGGAGAGGAGATGGGGAGCAGGGGTGGGTTGTGGGGGTCGCCTCGCTGACACCCTCTCCACACAGCACGTGGGCTGTGACCGAGTCCTGGGCTCCGACCTTCGGGAGGACAAGTGCCGAGTGTGTGGCGGTGATGGCAGTGCCTGCGAGACCATCGAGGGGGTCTTCAGCCCAGCCTCACCTGGGGCCGGTGAGAGCCTCTAGCTTCCCTCCCACGCTCCCTGGTTGGGCCAGCTGGCTGGAGGCAGAGCCGATCCCACAGAAGTAGCTGAGATCACTAACTGCTCACACCCCGGGGCCCCCCTCCCATGGAGTGTCAGGAATCCCCAAAAGTCCTGGGGGCCCAGCCAGGCAAAGTGGCTCAAGCCTATAATCCCACTGTTTTGGGAGGCTGAGGCAGGAGGATCGCTTGAGGCCAGGAGTTTGAGACCAGCCTGGCCAACATGGTAAAACCCCGTTTCTACTAAAAATACAAAAATTAGCCAGGCGTGGTGGCGCGCACCTGTAGTCCCAGCCAACTCAGGAGGCTGAGGCACAAGAATGGCTTAAACCTGGGATGTGGAGGTTGCAGTGAGCCGAGATCATGCCACCGCACTCCAGCCTGGGCGACAGAGCAAGTCTCTATCTCGTATCTTGCCGGGCGTAGTGGTTTATGCCTGTAATCCCAGCACTTTGGGAGGCTGAGGTGGGCAGATCACAAGGTTAGAAGATCAAGACCATCCTGGCTAACACAGTGAAATCCCATCTCTACTAAAAATACAAAAAAATTAGCTGGGCATGGTGGCGCACACCTGTAATCCCAGCTACTCGGGAGGCTGAGGCAGGAGAATTGCTTGAAACTGGGAGGCAGAGGTTGCAGTGAGTCAAGATCATGCCATTGCATTACAGCCTGGGCAACAGAGCTAGATTCCACCTCAAATTAAAAAAAAGAGTGTCTCAGGAGATGGGAGCCTGAATCTCTCTCCTCTGTCTCCTGGAGGAGCTCATGCCAGGTCTGGGTGGAAGGGAGAGTCACTTTCCATCCTCTGTGAGCCAGAGAAGCTGGGGGAATGTTCTGTGCTAGCAGGGAAAGGCAGGAGGGGATATTCAGAGAATGTAGAAAGCATCTTCTCCAGCTTGGGCTTTGGTCAAGTGAGAGAGAGCCCAGGAAGTGGGCAAGAGGGGAGGAGGCTCAGGAAATATCTGGAAGGCTGAGGAAGCTTTAGGCACTCAGAGGGAGGGAGTGTGACCAGGTGAGGCAGGAGTAGGTTGCAAGGTGTGGGTTTCATTCCCAAGTAGGATCCCATTGGGGTTTTATAATAAGGAGCCTGGCAGCTGGCATCAAAACTAAGACAAGCACAGTGGCTCACGCCTGTAATCCCAGTGCTTTGAGAGGCTGGAGGATCCCTTGAGCCTAGAAGTTTGAGACCAGCCTGGGAAACACAGGGGTCTCCCTATGTTTCCCAGGCTGGTCTCAAACTTCCCAAAACAAAATTTTTTTTTGAGTCAGAGTGTTGCTCTCTCACCCAGGCTGGAGTGCAGTGGCTTGATCTCGCCTCACTGCAACCTCTGCCTCCCGGGTTCAAGAAATTCTCCTGCCTCAGCCTCCCAAGTAGCTGGGACTACAGGTGTGCACCACCATGCCTGGCTAATTTTTGTATTTTTTTTAGTAGAGACGGAGTTTCACCAAATTGGCTAGGCTGGTCTGGAACTCCTGACTTCAAATGATCCGCCTGCCTAGGCCCCCCTAAGTGCTGGGATGACAGGTGTGAGCCACCGTACCTGGCCGAACTCTACAAAATTCTTTTAATTAGGTGGGTGTGGTGGTGCACACCTGTAGTTCCAGCTGCCCAGAAGGCTGAGAGGCAGGAGGATCCCTTGAGCCCAGGAGGTCAAGGCTGCAGTAAGCTATGATTCTACCACTGCACTCCAGCCTGGGTGACAGAGTGAGATCCTGTCTTAAAAAAAAAAACACCTAGTCATCGGGAAAGTGGAGCCTATGGGACCCAACACACTGGAGACACTGTGGGGGTCCTGCCAGATAAACCAGGATTCCTGGGGGCACAGGTGAACAGGGGTAGAGTTTTCGAGAGCTCAGAACCATCCAGGTAGTCAGTGGCAGAGTCCACTGCACACCCAGCTCTGTCTGCTAAAACTCTGCCTTGTCAGTCTACGTAGATCGGAGTCCCTGTGGTGCCTCTTCCCCTCTGCCCAGGCCAGTCTCCATGCTTGCTGGGGGAATGGGAAGGTAGATTCGACTATATTAGTGGATAGAGTGGCAGCAGAATTGGGCTTCAAATCCCAGCCCAGGCCAGGCACGGTGGTTCACACCTGTAGTCCCAGCACTTAGGGAGGCTGAGGCAAGAGGATCACTTGAGCCTGGGAGTTTAGAGACTAGCCTGGGCAACTTAAAAAGACCCCAACTCTACAAAAACAAACAAACAAAATAAAATTTAAAAAAAAAAACAGTTTTTTGGTTTTTTGTTTATTTGTTTTTGAGGCAGAGTCTTGCTCTGTCACCAGGCTAGAGCACAGTGGTACAATCTCAGCTCACTGCAACCCCCACCTCCCAAGTTCAAGCAATTCTTCCGCCTCAGCCTCTCGAGTAGCTGGGACTACAGGTGCATGCCACCACACCAGGCTAATTTTTGTATTTTCAGTAAAGACAGGGTTTCACCATGTTGGCCAGGATGGTCTCGATCTCTTGACCTCATGATCTGCCCCCCTCAGCCTCCCGAAGTGCTGGGATTACAGGCGTGAGCCAGCATGCCCAGCCAAAAAGTTTTTTTTAGTTAGCCAGGTGTGGTGGCTTACACCTGTAATCCCAGCTACTGGAGAGGCTGAGGCTGGAGGATCACTTGAGCCTAGGAGTCTGAGGCTACAGTGATCCAGGATCACTCCAGTGTGCTCCACCCTGGGCAACAGAGAGATCCTGTCTCCAAAAAAAAAGAAAAAAAAATTCCAACCCAGCTATTTCCTAACTATAAAACCTGGTCAAGTTGCTTAGCTTCTCTGAGCCTCAGTTTCGTCGTCCCTAAAATGGGGATAACGAAACATCAAGTTCACAAGGGTGGGCAGAGATGCAGTTAGACGTGCATTTAGCGCAGTCATGGTTAGCTGTTATCCTCATGGGCCAGGGGCGGGAGGTGGGCAGGTTTTGGGGACACATCAGGTGGGTGACATATGAGCTCTGCTGTCCAGGGTACGAAGATGTCGTCTGGATTCCCAAAGGCTCTGTCCACATCTTCATCCAGGATCTGAACCTCTCTCTCAGTCACTTGGGTGAGCAGACGATGGGAAGGGGATGAGGATTAGGAGCCAGTTGGGGAGGGAGAGGCTTCAGCATGACTAGAATTCTAGACCCTGCACTGTCCCCCAGCCCTGAAGGGAGACCAGGAGTCCCTGCTGCTGGAGGGGCTGCCTGGGACCCCCCAACCCCATCGCCTGCCTCTGGCTGGGACCACCTTTCAGCTGCGACAGGGGCCAGACCAAGTCCAGAGCCTGGAAGCCCTGGGACCCACCAATGCATCTCTCATCGTTATGGTAACGGGGGGGGGGGGGGGGGGGTGTGGAAGAAGGGAGAAAGGTGCATCCTATGGAATTAGAGACTCCACACGACCCATCCGTTGGCTGCCACCCCCTTCCTCCAGGTGCTGGCCCGGACCGAGCTGCCTGCCCTCCGCTACCGTTTCAATGCCCCCATCGCCCGTGACTCACTGCCCCCCTACTCCTGGCACTATGCGCCCTGGACCAAGTGCTCAGCACAGTGTGCAGGCGGTGAGGCCGAGGGTGGGGACAAGCACGGGATACCAGGGCTGAGGTTCTCTGGGCTTGGAGGGGCTGAGCAGGCCTCTCACCCTCCCCCAGGTAGCCAGGTGCAGGCGGTAGAGTGTCGCAACCAGCTGGACAGCTCGGCAGTCGCCCCCCACTACTGCAGCGCCCACAGCAAGCTGCCCAAGAGACAGCGCGCCTGCAACACGGAGCCTTGCCCACCAGAGTGAGTGCCGCCAGGGGGCAGTGTTGCTCAGGGTGGGAGGAGAGTGCTCCCTGGAGTCAAGAGCGAATGCTCCGGCGGGGCGCAGTGGCTCACCCCTGTAATCCCAGCACTTTGGGAGGCCAAGTCGGGTGGATCACGAGGTCAGGAAATCAAAACCATCCTGGCTAACACGGTGAAATCCGTCTCAACTAAAAATGCAAAAAAATTAGCCCGGCGTGGTGGTGTGCACCCGTAACCCCAGCTACTCAGGAGGCTGAAGGGGGTGAATCGCTTGAACCCGGAAGGTGGAGGTTCCAGTGAGCCGAGATCGCGCCACTGCACTCCAGCCTGGGTGACAGAGCAAGATTCTGTCAAAAAAAAGAGCAAGTGCTCCAGGGAGCTGGGGAGCAGGTTAGTGCAGGGTCAGGGTGACAGTGGGCCGAGTGCTTCAGTTATGGTTTATAGGATCTATGGGGGAGTTCACTAGTGCCCCCAAAGTGGCGGTCAAGGTTGCATGGCCCAGGAGTCGGAATGATGGTGCTGACTGGTCACGTGCAAGGTCCAAAGATGTATTTGTCCTTGGGCTAATGCACCTCTCTGCCTCCAATCTGGGTGCAGGCTAATGATGCCCCAAGTGTGAAATGTGGAGGTGCCTGGTGCCAGTTTCCCTACAAGGCTGAGTCGTTGGAAGGGTGGGAGGAGGGCTATCGTGCCCCCAGCTCTCTTGTTGGGACCCCCACCACCACCACCCTGCATACTTGCTCAGACCCCTGCATCTCCTACAGCTGGGTTCTAGGGAACTGGTCGCGCTGCAGCCGCAGTTGCGATGCGGGCGTGCGCAGCCGCTCGGTTGTGTGCCAGCGCCGCGTCTCGGCCGCAGAGGAGAAGGCACTGGACGACAGCGCGTGCCCGCAGCCGCGCCCACCTGTGCTGGAGGCCTGCCACGGCCCCACTTGCCCTCCGGAGTGGGCGGCCCTCGACTGGTCTGAGGTCAGCCGTCCCCTTCCGTCACGACCACTTCCTGTGCCGAGAGGGGCGGGGACTGCAATGCCCACGTGGGGTGCGCACGGAGGCGCCTCTGCGCGGTCTCCAGGTTAGCGGTCCCCTCTTCACTTCTCACTGGGTGAGTACCCCGCCCACCCCTTAGCACGAAATGCGCCCTTCCAACTGCAGTGCACCCCCAGCTGCGGCCCAGGCCTCCGCCACCGAGTGGTCCTCTGTAAGAGCGCGGACCACCGCTCCACGCTGCCTCCCGCACACTGCCCGCCTGCCGCCAAGCCGCCGGCCACCATGCGCTGCAACTTGCGCCGCTGCCCCCCGGCCCGCTGGGTGGCAGGCGACTGGGGTGAGGTATGAGGGCGCACCCGGGGGGTGGGGGCCAGGGCAGGGGCTGCGGGGCGGCAGCTCAGTGGTACCTCCTCGCAGTGCTCGGCACAGTGCGGCGTCGGGCAGCAACAGCGTTTAGTGCGCTGCACCAGCCACACAGGCCAGGCGTCTCACGAGTGTACGGAGGCCTTGCGGCCGCCCACCACACAGCAGTGTGAGGCCAAGTGCGACAGCCCGCCCCCCGGGGATGGCCCTGAAGGTATGTGAGTGGCCAGACAGGGCGCTGCCAGGAGGGTCCTGGCCAGAGCCAGACACAGAGGGCACTGGGGGTCCTGACCATTCTAGAACTTCTGGAACCTCTGAAATGCGTTGCTCTGTCTCTGACAGGCCATCCTTCACCACCCCCTCCCTGCAAGCATTTATTAATTGCCACTGTATGCTGAACGTTTCAGGCACCTGACCCTTCTGTGCACCCAAACTTGTGTCATTTCCCCAATCACATTATTTTTTTTTAAGACAGAGTCTTGCTGTGTCACCCAGGCTGGAGTGCAGGTGCAATCTCGGCTCACTGCAACCTCCGCCTTCCAGGTCCCAGCAATTCTCCTGCTTCAGTCTCCTGAGTAGCTGGGATTACTGGCGCCCCCTACCACGCCTGGCTAATATATATATATATATTTTTTATTCCTTTTTTTTTTTTTCTTTTAGTAGTGATAGGGTTTCACCTTATTGGCCAGGCTGGTCTTGAACTCCTGACCTCGTGATCCACCTGCCTTGATCTCCCAAAGTGCTAGGATACAGGCATGAGCCACTGTGAGCAACCACCACCCAATCACTTTCATAACGTGTACCTATTCCTCTCCAGCTGTACCACAATTTCCTGAATATGTTTTCTTTAAATCAGTTTCCCAGCCTCAAGCACTAGTGATATTTTGAGGTAGATGATTGTCATAGGGAGCTGTCCAGTGCATTGTGGGAATTTTTTTTTTTTTTTTTTTTTTTTTTTGAGAGATAGGGTCTTGCTGTTATTCAGGCTGGTCTCCAACTTCTGGGCTCAAGCGATCCTCCCACCTCAGTCCCCCAAAGTGCTGGGATGACAGACGTGAGCCACCATGCCAGCCTGTAAGGTGTTTAATAGCATCTCTGGTTTCTACCCACTGGGTGCCAGTAGCAGCCCTCTCCCAAGTTATGACAACTAAAAATGTCTCTGGACATTGCCTGATGTCCCCTGAGGGACAAAATTGATCACCTCCACTGATTTAAGCATACACATTTCTTTTCTGTCTAGATTAATTAATTAATTAATTAATTAATTTTTGAGGCTGGACTCACTTTGTTACCCAGTTTGGAGTGCAGTAGCACGATCTCAGCTCACTGCAACCTTCACCTCCCAGGCTCAAGCTATCTCCCGTCAGTCCCCTAGGTCCCCCCAAGAACTACAGGCAAGAGCAGTGTGCCTGGTTAATTTTTGTATTTTTTTATGGAGATGAGGTTTCACCATGTTGCTCAGGCTGGCCTCGAACTCCTGGCCTCAAGCAATACACCTGCCTCGGCCTCCCAAAGTGCTAGGATTACAGGCATGAGCCACTGCACCTGGCCGTAATATTTTTTTTCTTTTTTTGAGACAGTCTTGCTGTATCACTTAGGCTGGAGTGCAGTGGTGCAATCTCAGCTCACTGCAACCTCCATCTCCTGGGTACAAGTGAGTCTCCAAACTCAGCCTCCCGAGTAGCTGGAATGACAGGCGAATGCCACCATGACGAGCTCATTTTTGTATTTTTAGTAGAGACAAGGTTTTTCCATATTGGCCAGGCTGGTCTCAAACGCCTGACCAGGCCTCCCAAAGTGCTGGGATTACAGGTGTGATCTACCACACCGGGCCCATAAATTTATTTTTGATAGACAATTAATTGCTTACTCGGGACTGCAACCAAACTACCTGGGTTCATCCTCTACCTGTGTTTTTTGTTTCTTTATCTGTCAAGGGATGTAAATGATATATTCACTTGAGGGGTACTCCAGAAGGGAGATATAATAAAATGATCCCCCAAGGGCCAGTGGGCAAGGTGACTCACGCCTTTAATTCCAGCACTTTGGGAGGGTGAACTGCAAAGATTGCCTGAGCCCAGGAGTTGAAGACCAGTCTGGGCAACATAGTAAGATACCCATAGCTACAAAAAATAAAATTAGGCTGGACATGGTGGTTCACACCTGTTATCCCAACACTTTGGGAGGCCAAGGCGGGCAGATCACCTGAGGTCAGGAGTTCAAGACCAGCCGGGCCAACATGGCAAAACTCCATCTCTACTGAAAATACAAAAAATAGCCAGGTGTGGTTGTGGGCATCTATAATCCCAGCTACTCGGGAGGCTGAGGCAGGAGAATCCCTTGAACCCAAGAGGCAGAGGTTGCAGTGAGCCAAGATGGGTACCACTGCACTCCAGCCTGGGTGACAAAAAAAGAAAAAATCCATCTGTAGCTCTAAATTTGCCCCAGGTCCTGCCATAAATCACTGGCTGCTAAGTGGAAACCCATATCCATCCAGAGTTATGAACAGACATCATGATCACAAAATACGTCAATGCCCTGAAAATACCCTGACTGACTCACTTAGCTGGGGCTCAAGATCTTCAGCTTATTAAAAAGGAAAACGAGTGAGGATTACAGCCCCAAATGGACATTTTTTTCCTGGGCCCTATGAAGAGGAACATTGGAAAGGAAAGGGAATATTTTTCTCCTTTTATTTTATTGAGTGGTGTGTGTTTGTTTGTGAGACAGGATCTCACTCTGTCACCCAGGCTAGAGTGTAGTGGCACCATCATAGCTCACTGCGGCCTCTGCTTCACCACAGGCACATGCCACAATGCCCCGCTAACTTTTTTTCTTTCTTTTCTTTTCTTTTTTTTTTTTTTTTTTTTTTTTTTGGAGACAGAATCTCACTTTGTCTCCCAGGCTGGAGTGCAGTGGTGAGATCTCGGCTCACTGGGAGATTCTCCTGCCTCAGCCTCCCAAGTAGCTGGGATTACATGACCAGCTAATTTTTGTATTTTTAGTAGAGATGGGGTTTTACCACGTTGGCCAGGCTGGTCTCGAACTCCTGACCTGAAGTGATCCACCTGCCTTGACCTCCCAAAGTGCTGGGATTATAGACATGAGCCACCACGCCCAGCCTAATTTTTTCTTTTAATTAGTTTTTGTAGATGCAGGGGTCTCACTATGTTGCCCAGGATGGCCTCGAACTCCTGGGCTCAAGCAGTCCTCCTACCTTGGCCTCCCAAAGTGCTGGGATTACAGATGTGAGACGCTGTACTCAGCCCTTTCTTCATTACTAATGTGTCTGATTTGGCCCCCAACCTCGCACACTCTCTCTTAAATCCTCAAAACAGCCTAGTGACATGGGTGCTATGGGTGCCACCTTTGATAGTTGAGGAACTGAGGCACAGAAGCCAGGCGTGGTGGCTCACAACTGTAGTCCCAGCTACTCAGGAGGCTGAGGTCGGAGGATTACTTGAGCTCAAGAGTTCAAGATCAGCCTGGGCAACATAGCAAGATACTATTTGTAACCAAAAAAAAAGTAAATTTAAAAAGAATCTAAGACACAGAAAGGCAAAGTCACTACCCACGAGGCGCTGCATGTCCTGTGTGCAGCCCCGCCGGGAGGGCAGCCGAGACCTGATTTTCCTCCCTTCTCTCGCCCCACAGAGTGCAAGGATGTGAACAAGGTCGCCTACTGCCCCCTGGTGCTCAAATTTCAGTTCTGCAGCCGGGCCTACTTCCGCCAGATGTGCTGCAAAACCTGCCAGGGCCACTAGGGGGCGCGCGGCACCCAGAGCCAAAGCTTGGGGGGGTCCCCGCCGCTAACCTTGCAGCAGCGGGGCGGGCCAGAGGGACCCCCAGTGGGGCGGGAGCTGGGAGGGAAGGGTGAGATAGAACCAGAAGTTATTTATTGGGAACCCCTGCAGGGCCCCTGGCTGGGGGATGGAGAGGGGCTGGCTGCCCCCCAGGGCCCCTCTTCAGCATCTCCCCCTTCCGGTTCACATAGTGAGACCCCCTCCAGGGTGGGTCTGGGGAGGGGAGAGCTGTTCACCCCAGCACCCTTTGCACCCTCCCTTAGGGAGTCCCCAACACTCCCCGCCTCCTTTGATCGGAATATGTACTGTGAAGAGTAAGGGTGGGGAGGGGGTCTGCCGGTGCCCTGCCCGCCAGCACTGCCCTACCCCTCCACTCCGAGGTGGGGGGGAGTCTGTGTCTGCTATGGGAGACGGGGGTAGCACCACCTCCCTGACACCCTCCCCCTCACCTGACCAGCGGAGGGTCCACCCCTAACCTCTGCCCTGCCTGCCCCAGGGGCACCCCGACATCCAGGCTACCCCCTCATGGTGCTACAGACCCTGTCCTGGGGCCCACACACTCCTGCCAGGAAGCTCTACATCAATAAAGTTCTGTCTTGTGTAGATTTCTGCGAGTTGCGGTGTGTGTGTGTCAATGCATCCAGCAGCCTCCACCCAGGTCTGGAAGGGACAACCCACCCCACTCCCAGGTCTACCCAGAAGCCAAAAAGGGATTTTTTTTTTTTTTTTGAGACAAGGTCCCTGTCGTCCAGCTATGCCTATCATAGCTCACTGCAGCCTTGACCTCCTGAGATCAAGCCATCCTCCCACCTCCGCCTCCTGAATAGCTGGGACTACAGGCAGGCACCACCACACCTGGCTAATGTTTGTATTGTTTATAGATACACGGTTTCATCATGTCGTCCAGGCTTGTCTCCCAACTCCTAGGCTCAAGGCATCCTCCTGCCTCAGCCTCACAAAGTGCTGGGATTACAGGTGTCACCCACCATGCTGGCCCTCACAGAGGCTTTTTTTTTTTTTTTTTTTTTTTTGCGACAGAGTCACAGTCTGTCACCAGACTGGAGTGCAGTGGCACGATCTTGGCTCACTGCAACCGCCTCCTGGGTTCAAGCGATTCCCCTGCCTCAGCCTCCCAAGTAGCTGGGATTACAGATGGACACCACCACACCTGGCTTTTTTGTATTTTAGTAGAGACTGGGTTTCACCATGTTGGCCAGGATGGTCTCAATCTGACCTCATGATCCACCCTCTTCGGCCTCCCGAAGTGCTGGAATTACAGGCGTAAGACACGGTACCCGGCCACGGAGGCTCTGTTAAAGTCACCCTGGTCATCACACTCCCCGTCACTCCGCAAGCTTTAGCCACGCCAGCCTCCCTGAAATTCTTCAATTGCTCTACAGTCTTCCCATCTCTGGGCCTTTGCTTGAGCTATTAGCCCAGCCAGGTGCACCCTCCTGCCACTCTTTACCTGTTTTAACTCCAGCTTTCTCATTGGTGTCAGCACAAACATTTCCTCTTCCTAGAAGCCTCCCCGATGCCTCCAACAAAGTGAGGTTCTCCTACCCATTCATATTCACTCTGAGTGCCTGGAGACATTGCTGCGAATTGCATGCACCAAGTCTGTCCATTCAGCAAACTCACTCAGCAGATTCCAAGAGAGATAGGCTTCTTCCCAGCTGTGACCACTAGGGGCGCTGCATCTTGACGTCTTTAAGGGGGATGCGGGTTTATCGCCCTGGACCAAAGATGGATCTGAACCTGGGTTCCTGCCAGGGTCTCCCAGGGTCGGGTCCTGCTTCAGTCACCCCCTCGATGGGTGGTGTGGGGAAGTAACCTCTTCGAACTGACATTTCCAGCTGGGCAGGGTGGCTCACACCTGTAATCCCTGCACTTTGGGAGGCCGAGGTCGGCAGATCACCTGAGGTTGGGAGTTCGAGACCAGCCTGGCCAACATGGAGAAACCTTATCTGTACAAAAAATACAAAACTTTAATCCCAGCTACTTGGGAGGCTGAGGCAGGAGAATCGCTTGAACCTGGGAGGTGGAGGTTGCTGTGAGCCGAGATCATGCCATTGCACTCCAGCCTGGGCAACAAGAGTGAAACTCCGTCTCAAAAAAAAAAAAAAAGAACTGCCATCTCCTCAAATGTCAAGAGGAGCCTCAGGTGGTTGGCTGGTGTCCCAAAGACCAGCTCATGGGCTAACACATAATGGATCCTACATGGGCCAGGCTCTGCTGGGGGGACCCGCGTTCCCATTTTACAATGAGAAAAGGGGGTGACTAAGTCATCCAGGAAGCTGGAGTTTGTTAAATCCAGATGTGACATCCGAAGTCAGATGTGCCTGCTTCCTGGTACCCTCCACTCCTGCACACAGACACGTGTGGCTTCTGAGGGTCATCTAAAGAGGGAAGTTGGGCCAGGCGTGGTGGCTCATGCCTGTAATCCCAGCACTTTGGGAGGCCGAGTGGGTAGGATCACCTGAAGTCAGGAGTTCAAGATCAGCCTGGCCAACATGGCAAAACTTGGTCTATACTAAAAACACAAAAATTAGCCGGGCATGGCGGCGGATGCCTGTAATCCCAGCTACTCAGGAGGCTGAGGCAGGGGAATCACTTGAACCCGGGAGGTGGGGGTTGTAGTGTGCCAAGATTGTGCCACTGCACTCTAGCCTGGTTAAGAGAGCAAGACTCTATCTCAAAAAAGAAAAAAATTGGCTGGACACGGTGGCTCATGCCTGTAATCCCAACACTCTGGGAGATGGGGTCTTGCTATATTGCCCAGGCTGGTCTCGAACTCCTGGACTCAAGCAATCATCCAACCTTGCCCTCCCAAAGTGCTGGCATTACAGGTGTTGAGCCACCTCTCCAGGAGAGGTGGCTCATGGGCCCCATCCTTGGTTTTAAGAGACATGCGGCCAGGCACAGTGGCTCATACCTGTAATCCCAGCACCTTGGGAGGCCAAGTGGGGCAGATCATGAAGTCAGGAGTTCAAGACAAGCCTGGCCAATATTGTGAAACCCCATTTCTACTAAAAATACAAAAATTAGGCTAGGCGCAGTGGCTCACACCTGTAATCTTAGCACTTTGGGAGGCCAAGGTGGGTGGATCACCTGAGGTCAGGAGTTCAAGACCAGCATGGCCATCATGGAGAAACCCCATCTTTAAATAAATAAATAAATAAACAAATAAAATAAATAAAAATACAAAAGTTAGTCCGTCATGGTGGCATGCGCCTGTAGTCCCAGTTACTTGGCAGGCTGAGT